CATGCATGTAATAGTATGGTACACTCAATAACAGAACACACAATGACAAGGATGGCAAGAATTTGACACTTGTAAAGTAACTGAAGCCATCTGCAAAGCCTGTTACTCTCTTTCAAAGGAGTGTAGAATAACGATTAGTGCTCTAACGAAACATTTTCTCTTAAAGACAAACGCTGACAAGATGAGAATGGCGGGAAATAATAACTGCGGGATATGCATCTTACCTATAACAAAATAAAGTTTTGAACACGAGATATATGCATCCTCAGCTTTGTAAAAATACGGTTAAAACGTGTCACAACGTGTTATTGCACAGTATCATAAATTGGAGGAAATAACCAAATAATAACATGGTAAGGATCTTTAAAGTCGGAAGGAAATCTAAAATATTTTGCCATTAAGCGAACACAGAGAACAGACAGTACACTACTACTATATGTAGCTTACTAGATCAACCTATCGAAACAGTTTTAGTATCAGACAAAAAATGCTATTAATTCAAAATAAACTATTGTTATTATATTTCATTACTATTTGAACGTTCTATTACAAAATTAATTTCTTTCGTCATAATTGACTTTAAAGTTATAATGACTTAAATTAGTTGTAAAATTACTGCACTCGGGAAATTGAAATATTACCATAATCTCAATTTCTTCATTATAAATTATATATATTTTCCCATCGCACAGAATGATTCGGGAAAAAAAAATGGAGTATATCGTCTTTATTGTGGATGTGTTATATATTTTCAACAGAAAATACTGAAAATATTTTATACTGATAATAATTTATGTATGTATATTAAAAACAAGAGTATATAGTTTTTATGCATATATTTGAATTTTTTAAATTTCACAAAAGTATTTGTTGTATAAAATATGTACGCTTACAAGTAATTAATTAATTATATAAATTTTATGTAAGTTGTTCGTGTAAATTGAAGGGATATTTTACAAATCGCATATGTTAAATAGTGTATTTGCCCCAATCGCTGTAATTAGCGTATAAAATATTGGGATGCAAAATAAGTATATTTATTATTTATAATTATATAAATTTACACTAAATAATTTCAAGTTACAATATTAACAATTTAATATAAGTTAGCGGAAAACTGTACGTTTCAGCTGAATACCCTTTATAGTTTATAGTTTAATTTTATATTGAATACTATTTTCTAAATATAAATGACAATTTTATTTAACAAGCGTTCAATTATTTAATATTGCTTCAATATTTTCATTTTTCTATAAGAAATTTTACCACATAAACTAAATATATATATATATATACTTGGCATAGTTATACATTTTTCAAATTGATAAATTTAAAAATGTATTATATTTTTATTCATAAGAATTTAATAAAGTTCAGTGGTTTTTTAAAAATTTGCAGCAGCATAAAAATTCTTATAAACGCATGTACAAATTGTACGTATTGATTTTTCGAATATTATATATTAATTTTAGTCTTAATTAGTCATTTAAGCATTCAATTATAAGCATCGATTTATAAACTTTTATAGATATATAAGTATTAAAGTATATATACTATATGTATATATATATATTTTATATATACATATAAATTTATTCATATCGTCGTGTTTATTTAATATGTTATTTTACTATAATAAAATGTTTATATATATATTTTTTTTTTGTTTTTAATTTATCATAATCTTTTTAAATATTGTATTTTTATCTTAATATTTAATCTAAATCAAATATGTTTTTTTATGTATTTGTGAACTCAATGAATTATTTGTGACTTAGATTGTAATTTGTACTTCATTTGTACTTGATTTGCTCCCTTAAACTAGTTTAGTATTTTTTTTTAATTATTTTCTTCAAATATATATTTTAATATATATTGAGTGTTTTAATAGAGTTTTATGTATATTCTTTAATATTTGTTCGTAAAAAAAGAATTATTTAAATATTTTGAGATTTTTTAAACCTATATACTTTTAAATATGGATTAATTTGAAAAAATTTATTCAAAATTGCATTTTGATATACATTATGTATTTTATATCAACTTTTTTTTTTAATTTTACTACGCAATCAACTTCAAGAGGACGCGTCAAAAATTTGGTGATCTTAAGCTAAATGATGAACATCGATATATAGATATATATGTATATATATGTATATTGTAGAAAATTATGTATTTGTGTATATAAATTGTGTATAATTGTAAACATGAACGATGTTTTTATTTTCAACTTTCTGAGGTTAATGAAATAAAATAAAATAAAATCATTTTCTTTAAGCTTAAAATATATATTAAACAATTAAATATATAGATCGATATAATACGATTGTTTTTTAACCCATGAGTTTATAAATAATATAAATATTTCAACTCTTATCTGTTAATAATAAATTATTTTTAGTGAACTGTGTTTTTTGATTGTGAGCCTATGGCGAAGTACGGTTCTGAATATTTATTATTATTTTGTTTTACCTTTATTCTATAAATTTAATAAATATTTTTAGGAATTATATGATGATCATATATATATGGCATTTTTGAATATATAAAACGCTTAACGCGATTAATACTATAAACGTAATACATTAAAAAAAAAACTTTAAAATTATCTTAAAAACAAATATTTTTTCACAATTTTATAAAAATTAAATAAAAATAAAACTTATTTTTAAACACAAAATGGTATGAATGTGTATCAATCTGGTTGATACCAGAAATCACAAATTATCTTACAAAATGTGGTTTACGCAATAATTAAGGTATCTACATATAACAATACTGCTTAACTTTTTAAACATAGAGAATTTTATAACCAACAAATAAATACATATATAAGGTCGATATTTCTTTACAAAATGTCACAAAAATCACGTGAAAATTTCTAACTGGAAAAACGAGAAAAATCGTAACAAGGAGTTGAAAACTTTAGGACATTAAAATTTTTTTTCGTATAAATATTAATAGCTTATAAACAACTTATTTAAAAATAACATATATTTATATAGTGATATATCATTTATTAAATTTATTAAATATTATTTACGAATAATTAAATACAAGAATTATTTCCAAGACCACTAATGATGGTCTTGCTCGAAACAGCTGTATGGTCAGCCAAAAATTCAATTAATTAAAATAATATAAAAAATAAATTTTTGTTGTTGTAGTTCACTACTGTTCGAAAAACCTCTTTAAGTAAATATATAAATAATATATGTGTGATCAAAATATATTATTCTGTAAGTTCAATATAGCATATTTTTTTTACAATATTTATCATCTCCTTTTATGTTAATAAAAACTAACGAATGCTTTTAAAAATGTTATTTATAAATCCATTTAATTTCTAAAATCACTCAAAATGAATAACAAATTTTATATATTGTTGTTTAGTAGAATATGATGCATGCAGATTAAACAGGATTTTTAATGGATTATAAATTAATATAAGATTAAAACTTTTTAGATAAATTGTTTTCAAAGTATAGATGTTCTAGTTTTTTTAAACTAGATTATTACTTGTTAACATTTAATCTCGTTTAACATTGAGAATATGTCGTATATCCTTACAATATTTTATTTATGAGGTTAGGTTTAAAGAGCACAAGTTGATTGCAATATCGCCACAACACAATTGTGATATTCTCAAAGTTGCCAGAAGAAGGCAAACAACATTAACCATTTTTTTAATATGGATCCTTTCATTAAATCATGTTAAACCATTTGGTTTTCTAGATAAAGTTTAGGAGTTCCATAAAATTTACTTTCATTTAGTCTCCTACTAAGAGTAGAAGATTTGTTATTTCAAAGCGAATACCCTAACACATCAATATTTTTATTTTGAGTTAAATTTTAAGAAGTTTTAGATAACTTTCATTATAAAAACATATCCATAGATTGATTTATTTATATGTATGTATATTTTGATATTATTTAATCTTGTTATATTATTTTGTTTGATTAATCCCTGAAAGAGTTGACTATATTAAATAATCGAAGTTTAGCATAATAAAGTTGTTAATTTGTCTCTGTATTATTCATTCAAAAATGTTTGTTCTAGACATTTTCATATTGTTATACCTTAAGCGTAACCCACACATATCTTTCTCTTAAAATTTTTTTTTATATAAAAATATATAATTACAGCATATTGCAAATTAAATTATTTTGTAATAATTTTAGTCTTTGTAAGCACAAAATTTACCGATTATACACGAGAAAAAAAACAATAATCTGTCTTCTAATCGGTATATTTGATCGGTACAATTATTATATAATGAAATCTTAATATAGATATATGATATATAGACAATCTGACAAATGTTATTACGATCAAATATAAATTATTATTTTAATAAGAATAAAATACAATTATGAGCATTTAAAAAATATATAAACTATACAACATAATCAAAGTTAATTTATTTATTTTTAAGTCTAACAAATGCATTTGTTCTCGTAGAACAAATGGCGCATTTTATGCATGTTGCTTAATTTGTGGAAGGAGAGGTATATGTAACTTGTTTAACAAATCAAAAACAAAATCAATCAATTAAATCATATTTGTAAAATTACTTAAACAAAACAATGAATCAATCGATCGATCAATATACTAAATTAAATTTAAATAAATTTATCTATAATTGCTAGCAAATACAAATACAATATTTCTTTCTATTCAATACTAATAGCTAACCTTTGTCTAATCGTTTGTTAAAATTACAATACAATATTTTGCTAATTAAAAAATCCTTTTTTGAAAGTGCTGAGGAACATGTCACCACCCTTATATGTTCTTCTTTATTTTAAAAAAAAACTAGGTTTAATGTCTCTGTCTAATTATGTATTGTATTAAGTTTTTTAAAATCCTTCCTTAAGTATCATTAACAAATTGTGTAATTGATTTTCCATGCAATATATAGCATAGTTGCGTTATCATTACAGAAACAATAATTATAATTATTTAATTATTGTTTCTTTTTTAAATTGCTAAAATTCTAATTAATTTATTTCTAAAGTAAATGTTTTTAATTGCTAATGAACACATCGATGTACATAAATTCATAAATAATTTGTATGATTCCCTCATTCACGTTTACGTTAAAATGTTTGAATGAATTGAAATGAAATATGTTTGCAAAAGCCCATTTTGAATGCCCGATATTCAAATTGCGCTTCTAGTATTCAGTGCATTAGTCGCTTTGGTTTTCAGTCTTTCTAAAAATTAACCAAAATATCCGCACGCATATAAATATCCTCTTCCGTAAGGATTTAACGGATTTAAAGGTCCAGTTAATAATTAATTTTTTTGAAGTTTCTTCTTAGTTCATCAGTCTCATTTGCAAAAAAAATAATACGAAGAAATTAATGCAGTAAAATCAATACAAATTAAATAAAAATGAAACATAGAGCTAACGTTACATGTGTCCATTATTTGAACTTTGTTCCGTTGAGTAATGTCCTTTCTTAATGTATTCGTATATTGTAGGAAAATATTTGTCAGTCTAATTATATCTAAAATTTTAACGTTTTTCATTTTATCCGTTAGTATGTTAAAACGTTTTACGTACAATTTCATAAAACTGCTGGCATAAAATAATATTTATGTACCGCTATTATTGGCTTAATTCTATTGAGGTAATCGTTGTAGAATATTCAAATAAATGCGTAAATGTTTTTTTTTTGTTTTTTGTTTTTTTGTTACTTGTCGTGTCCTCAAATTCAATAATTTTGTCTAAATAATCTAAAACGTTTTCGTATTTATACCGAATATTTTGATACTTATAATTAATTACTTATCTTCTTAGTTTTTTCTTTAATAGTTATGTGTTTTTCTTAGATATGCAGCTTATTACTTATCTGTTATGTTCCTAGAACACGTGTACAAAACGTTTATAAGGATTCGAACCCTCTTTGGAATCTGGTGATAGCTCAATTAAGAACACAATTCTACCGTCCGGCATCAAAGCTACATCACATGTGCGATCTTTCTCATCAAGAGTAGTTGGCATAAGCGGATTATGTGATGGACGTACTTCAATCTATGAAAGTATTAAAATTTTATTTATTTATACGTAAATAGAAATAAATAGAAAAAAATTTAAACTTACATCCCACAAATAATCCAAACTTGGGCTAAAAACAACAATACGTTGGTTTTTAGAGTCAGCAACAATAATACGCCCATCGTCATCGCAACATAAACCTGAAGGACGATTGAATTCTTGGAATCCTGAACCTTCATGACCTTTGGCAGAGAGAATCTGTTAATTGGAAAAAAATATTTTCATTTTCAATAATTAACAAACATTCTAGTTATATTTAAACATTTGCGTATTAAAATATATTAAATTAATATTTTTTTTAAACTTATGTAATTAGTTTTTCAAGCGGCCGAGCCTACGTCCAGGAATCGTTCCCAACACAGTTGTTTAAGTGCTGCTCACCACTCGCAACAGAGACAATTTTAAAAAGTCTTTTCGATTAATAACAACATAAACAACAGACTTAATGCATTTATGAAATCCCCAACATCACTTACTAAAGTAATTACTTTTTTATTATTTTTATGACCAAAAATTAATTAATATATTTTGACCAATTAGCTAATTAATAAAACGCACTCAAATAATTAAGTCCCATATTGAAAACGTCATACTGCATACAATTAACCATCTAAATTAAATTCATATGTATTACGTAGCGTATATTAGTAATAAGTATAAATAAGTGAAATATATTTGACGATGATCCATTTAAAAATAAGTTCGAAGTAATATTTAATAATGAAACATAGGTCAATGTGGTAATAGAGCTCTTTCATGAAAGAAAGAAAAAAACTGAAGGTTTTGCAAAATATTTACAGAAGAAAATTAATAAAATAACGATTGATATTTAAGCAATTGATAAAATAGAAACCTTATATTTAAGAAATGAGGAAGAAATCAACACTTTAAAAGGAAATCCCTCGGTCTAAATGGAATCAATAACAAAAACTTTGCAAAAACTTCTGATCTCAGTTATAAAGATATCTTCGTCTGGGTATATTCCCAGATCGGTGAAGTGAAGTGTATTGAAGTGATCCTAAATCACCTGAATAACTCATTATCATATTGGAATGAAACACTTATTACAGTGAATTACCCTAGTGATCACAGACACTATTAAGTACAAGTGCTTTAGACTCTGACTCTCGTTTTAACAAACAAAAAGAAAGAAAACTAATATAAATTTAAGTAAAATACAAATGAAATATCTAATAGAAATTATCTTTTACAAAGAACCAATGTAATATTGTTATCGATATGGTAGAAGTAGAAAGTAGAAAGAGATGTTTAGTGTAGATGATAGAATATTAAATTTTAAATACATCTAACTAAAATAGTAGTTAAATCTCATGAGATCCATTGTAACATCTATTTATTTCAACTAATTTCAAAATAATCGTTTAAAGAAAAAACAATAAACATACTTTTACTATTGAGCTTTCCTAAAATCAATTTACTTTTCAAACATTTTAATAAAAGTTTTCTACAGACATTTTTCTAATTTTTTCTCATATATTTGATGCAGTTATATAGCACTTTTTAATTTTTTATTCTTTAATTCATATTAATTTTTCTTTTTTTGTTTCTATCTCCTTGTCTTCACTTATTTCAAAGTATGAATTTGAACTAACTTGAAGCCTGACTATGTGTAAGTGCAGTGTATAAAGTAAAAATAATATGGAGATTTTTAGTAATAATATTGCACACCAAAATTAAAATACACCACAATACATATTAAAATCTATAAACGTATATGGAATTTTAGTTTTTACATTATAAGGAAATACTAGATAATATACTTCAATAAATATATGTAGTCTTACCTCATTTATATCTGGATCAATTAAATACAAGCAGTGATTATCAAAATCTGACACTATAATATTTCCGGTTGGAGTGTAGCAAACTCCACGTGGAGATGCTATACCCTTATTTTGTCCATGGTTATCAAATACAATTTGACGAATGAAACGGCCTTCTGAATCGAATTGTTGTATACGATGATTACGAGAGTCTGAAACTACTATCTGACGTCTAGAATTGACAGCTACGTCCCATGGATACTGGAATTGGCCATACTCTTTACCGTAGCTGCCAAATTTTATGAGAAATACGCCACTTGCAGTAAATATTTGAACACGGTGATTATCTTTGTCAACAACAATAATACGATTATCAATATCGACGCAAATGCCAGCAGGCAAATCGAATTCACCATTTCCAACACCTTTGCGACCGAATTTGAATTTCAATGTACCATCTGGATTAAAGACTTGTACACGATTATTGCGACGGTCTGATATAAGAATATGTCCCATTTTGTCAACACAAAGACCCCAAGGACGACTTACTTGACCGTCTTCATGTCCTTCCGTAGCAAAAGATAAAGAAAGTGCATTGGATTTACGAGCTTTAACATGATCTGTACTCCCAGCTATTGCTTGTGTAGAACGTGGTGCACCAAAATGTAATCCCGGTGAACTACGCATTACACTAAGCTCCCATTCTATACCAGCATTTGGTACAGTACAACTATTTGTACGCGGTGGCATTATAGGTGATGGATTATGAAAAGAGTTATCACGCAATAGAGGGCGTCTAGAATTTGTTGGTATTACAGCAGTCATTCCATTATTTGGAAGTGAAAGCACAGTACCAACATCATTTGGCGGTGCTCCAACCATATTACCGCTTGTCGGCATTGGCATATTCTTATCGTCTACTAGTATTATAGCACCTTGATTACGTATATCTTGTAAAATAGAATAGTCAGGTGCAGCGAATGCAAACACCTCTTGTTTGGGTTGTAAGTCTTTATAAATAGCTGCGAATTGCTCTAATTGTCTTTGTCCATTTGTGACTTTCATAGCAATTTCAATATGATCCATGCGAGTTGAGTTCTCTGAAATTTTGTGCAACATATCAGATGTTTCAGCCAGGCCAGACAAAGCTGATTTCAAACCAGCCATCTGGTCATGTAAAATAGCCAAGCGGCGTTGACGTAATTTTTCTACAAAATCTAATAAAAATCTTTCACGATCTTCGATTGCAATTATAAATTGACGAAAAGCTTTTCGTATATTTTCACATAATTCATTGCAATTACGTTCGATTAAGCGTATAAAAGCGAGTGCTTTATCAATACTGCTTTTAATGCATTTGGTGCCCATACGGCTGCTCTCCAAAGCAGAGGTAATTTTTTCATTTGCTTCATCAACGAAATTTTGTATAGAAGCATAGTTATGTTCTTTATGTTCATGCAAGGTGCAACACTGGCACACAAGTTTCTTACAAAATTCGCAAACATAGCGATACATTTCGTTATGCAAATCGCATACGTAGTTAGGAGCTGGTTGAGTGGGTATATTATTAGATATTCCACCTGTTGGGGAAGTACCAATTGGGGTTGGCAATGAAACAATGGAATGATTTGAAGCAAATGGACTCTTGCGATGTGCACGTAAGCAGTCATTACACATATACTCATTGCATTCAAGACAGCGTAAAGAGGCATTTACATCACACCAATTGCAACTAATGCTCGAATTGTTTGATGATTCTGGAGACATCTTAGGATTACGTACGCGTGTGCCGATCGGTGCCATGCCGAAATCATTTGTAGTTTCAAGAGAACCTAAGAAATTGTTTAGGAAGAAATCATTACGTGGTGGAGATCTGCAAAAAAATCATTTAACATATTATATCCATATAGAAACGGTTTTTCATATATTAATTTTTAGATAAAATTTACTTACTCATTGTTGGTAGGTTCATTATTAGGCATCATTCCAGCGTTTAGGTCCCAGGATGGAAAGGATTCCAATAAATTAGTTAGCAACCTTTCAGCTGTATTGTTGCTGTTTGTTGTATTTGTGCTAGTGTTATTGCTTGCCATTTGTTGTGGAATGGAAGAATTGTTTGACAAAAGTTCCATCATAAAATTGGGCAATCGTATGCGAGCGATAAGCAAGCAGTTTGGAAAGTATCACTATTAGCCACAACACGTTTAATCTATAAAACGCAAATAACACGTTTAAATTTTAAATATTTGTTCACTTTTTTATTTAAGAGAAAAACAATTTTAAATTTCTTTATGCCGATAACTGCTGATATAAAGATAGACATAAACTGACTACAGCTGCTCGTGCTAAGATTAATATTCGAGTATTCAAGTATTCAAGAATTCGAGGGTTGTTTGCTTGATGCCTGTCTCTGTCGCCAGCGCGAACTAAACTGTTTAAGGCCACTCAGATGCAACCAGATGTTGTAAAGAATATTTTGAAATCAACTCTGTCTACAGACAGCTTATTGTACAACATTTAAATCAGTGTTAAATTTCTTGAGTGTATGTGTGGGATCAAAATGCACCAATGTTAATGTTAGGTACAAAAATGGTATTAAATGTTAAGATTTTTGAATGCATTTACTGCAGTGCTCTTCTTTAATGCTATTATCTTTACCTAAATTTTGCTTTCCTATTCCTATTTATTTAATGATTTCTATTATTCTTAGCAATGCAATGGCTTATTTAAAAGCAGATGCATATTTCCGATCCCTGCCTCCTTCTACACATCACAGCAGGTCACAGTTTTACGGTTAAAAATTTCTACGAATTTTCGAGGATTGTTTTTTTCATTTTAATCCTAGAATGTAGCAAATTTGAGCTACACTATTTGGTTTCATTTTTAAAGGATCACAGTTTAATTATTTGTGCAAAACATAATACAAAGATCTAGGCATCATATTATGCAGATCGAATCGATGTTTTTTCTATTTCCTGTTAAAATTAAAAATACACGTATATATATATCGACGATATCTATACAGAAAATAAAGCAAACATTTGCAATCAATTTTTTTTTTTCTAAAAAGGATTTTAGTCAAATTTAAATTTTGCCATTATTTAAATACAATAAATTCTATGAACATACCTTTAAAAGGAATGTACCTGGTTTAAGGTAGAAAAAATTACCTGAACGTTAAAGTCACCAATACATTTTATATTTAAAGTGAAAAATAACAGCCATTTTGAAAATATTTCTTGAAAATCTTTTATCTACAACATATATACTTGCAAAACTTATTAATATAAATAATTTTATACCTAATAATTCGGAGTTATCAGAGTTATTATGATTTTAATCAATTCAGTATTCTTTATTTAATTTATTTTTCCAAGAAGATAAGCTAGACTTCAAACTATACTTCTGTAAATTCTCCTAAATTAGATTACCCAAGTAGTCCTACCAAACACTACTATGTAAAAATGCTTTAGACACTAACATGTGTTACATCAAAAAGAAGATCTTATTTAATATTAGTCTTAATACATATCATATCCTAGAATTTTACGAAAAGTAACGTTTACTTGTTCTTTTTGATATGTATATTATCAAATATAGGATACGAAAAGATAACATCATTATTTGAATAACTATATTTAATTAAATAAAATAACGTTAGTACAAGGGTTACGACTTCGCCAAAAAACTAGTTTAGTTACAACTATTATTCGAAGCCGGTCATAACGACATTAAAGGGACCGACTCAATCCGCTCGTTATAACAAATAGTCGTTGTAAACAGCAAAATAAATTGAAAACTCTGTGCCTTAAAGGATAAGGATAAAAACTATACTAATGTTTATTTGTTTAAAAAAATATGTATAATTTTAATACTATTTATAGTATTAATAATATAGTACATATTATTTAACCACTGGGAGAAATAGTCGGTAAGTTTTGTTTGGTGCTCATATTCAAAATGCATATTCTGTGCGGCCTCGTAGTAGACGAGGATTCATTTTAGATAATAATTTCTTTATAAATTCTCGAAAGAGAAGAGTGATAAAAAAATTTTTATCTTTGTTTGTTGTTGTTGTAGCGCTCAAAAATCTATAAAGCAAAATACAATTATAAAGCCAAATACATGAGTTAGGATGTGGATAGGTATTGGTAGTGTGAGAGTGAGAATGGATTAGGGGATGGGTGGAATTTAAATTGAAGTCACCCAAGATCAGAGCGGAGAAATCTAGCCAATTCGTTTTGGCAGGTTCAAAATTCTATTGGACTCAAGTTCATAAATGCTTTGAGGCAGAAAAACAGATAAGCGATATTAGGGGACAGATGAGCTATATTTAAGGCACACATTTGGAACTGATGCATTTATTGATTACATGTAACTATTTGGACCAAATGCTGATTTCAATTAAACTAGGATGACTATAGGTATAAGCGATATATTGTTATGTCGATATACCTATAAAAGGTTGCAAACTGTACATGGATATATGGCAAACCAATTTAAATTTTGAGGAATTCGGTTAAACGTTATAAGTGATATCTACTGAATTTAGTTGAATGGCTTAGAGTCTGATTATAATTAAAAAGTACACTGAAGCTCGTGCAGTACAACAAGCTTAAATTGCTTTTTAGAGGGAGATCCTGGAACTGCCCAAGATTCGCAAAAATTAAGCGTCTACCACAATCAAGCGAATATAATAAAGAAGTAGTATTATTAATACAAAAACAAAATTTACCTATAAAGTAAACATAAATAATGAATAAAAACTGTTGAATAATAAGTTCTTCATAGCCACACACCTGCGACAATAATTAATAAAAATAGTACAGTGAGTAAAAGAGATTATTTAATAAATCGTTTCTATTGACTGGATTGACTGCGAAAATCATGGTCATTTATAGTTATAGTTATAGAGATTATTTAATAAATCGTTTCTATTGACTGGATTGACTGCGAAAATCATGGTCATTTATAGTTATAAACGACCTATTGCGCCTTTTAATCTTTTTAGTTTGTTGAACTTATTAATAAGTTTCATATTTCACATTATTGTGTTGTAGAACACTAGTAAGACAAGAAAAACTTTAAATCCAGAGTCACCAAATAGTTGGAATTTTATTATATTTTAGAGCAAATAAAAAAGGTTATTGTAGGTAAAAAATAGATCTCTATATTGAGATTATTCGTAATATTTCGATTAAAATAAAGATTATAGTACATACATATACTTTAAGTTCTGTGAATATTGTAGTACATATTTGAATCCCTTAAACTCGAACAAGCGATGTTTACTGCTTTGTATGCTGAAAATTCGACTACAATAAAACTGTTTAGGATGCAATTTCTCAAATCCACAGTATTACATTAAACTCACCCCAATATTTTTACATATCCAGTCTGCTCTTAATGTTATACACATAACACACATTCTTAATACCAATATTAAGATATTTTGTAATGGGCTATCGAGGAAAATTACAAATTTTATTCATAATATTGTTATTGTCTTTGAATAAGTATGTATAGTTTAGAAAATGGAGATTATATACTGATAACTCATTCTTCATTTTTGAACCCGCTTTTAATAATAAACGGGACTAAATTTGAATTAAAAAAAATTAACTATTTTAGCAATTGTATTAGTTTCAACCCTGATTTTTTTAATTGTATTAATATATGCTTTTGTAACTTCTTTCATAAATTCTTTTATAATAAATATGTTAAATAAGCAGAAAAAACTTCTTTGAAAGGAAGTTTTCCTACTGTTTTGTTGTTATAGCTAGTTGCTAAGTTCAATTTCTTGAAATAATTTTCTAAATTAGGTTAATAGATAGAGAGAATTATAGACTTTCAACAGTCATTTGGCAGTATCGACCGTTCCTACAATTGAGTGTACTCTTTATCAAATTGTACTTTTAAGCTCTTATTGAGCTTAACTATACAAAAACATTGGCTCCAATAAAAAATTTCAAAGATTTCATGATATGCAAATAGCCGGCTTAGGCAACAAATGTCAAAACAATCAAGTATCTGCTGGAAATGATAAACGGCACTTAGTTATCGAAATTGTCGAGTGGCGCCTAAGGTAGAACCGCCATGAATGAAACTTTCCCTTGTCACATATAAATGCGTCAATTCCCAATGCGTGCCCCAACCCTAGTTCTACTTCCCATGGTGTCGCCCATTTGATTTTATGTCCTAATACACACACCAGCAGTTTGAGAACAATTCATCTCAGCTTTTATTGAGTTTGAGTTTCTCCGCTTTGATCCAGAATAGTTTAAATTAAAATCCAGACCAACATTAATCAACTCTTCTTCCCAATCAATCCCCTCTCCTTTTATTCTTCCTATACCCAAAATTTTTACGTATTAAAGAATACTTCTTCAGAAAATATATGATATATAAAATATGTATGACCATTGCTACCATATGAACGATAAATTTAACCGAATCCAGCACAATCACGAGCTCGAATATATAGTAGCAGGCAGCAAATGCACCCTAAGTAAATGGTAAAGTATAACGCACCGATTCGTGGAAGTGGCAGGGATGATTTGAAAAATTTTGTGTAAATGATCTAAAATATGACCTTAATAAATTGGGTGTCTGTAATTGGAGAATGATTGCTCCAGACCGGCAATATTTGAACGTTTGATTAGGTAAGTACTGATCCGCCAAGGACTATAATGCCAAAAAGAACAATAAAGTAAACGATGTAATTGAGGGCATTAATAATTTGGGTGTATGTGATTGGAGAATCATTGTAACAGAACCAAAAAATGGAATATTTGATTTAGGAAGTACTAGTCTGTCAAGGACTATAATGCCTAAAAAATAAGAATGAGATTGATTCTTATTGAATCTATCTATATAAGATAGGTGGTTCATTATCAACTTAAGTTATAATATTTTTAGGGAATTATTATATAAATTATTTGTAGTAAAATAAGAAATTTATGTAACTACTATTTTAAACACTCAAAGTTTATTTTTCTTATGACTTAATTATATTTGATTTAAACAAGTATTTCGACTTATTTCTTAGTTATAATAACGATGATCTTAATGATCTGTTTTCTAACCTAAGCTATGGTACAAGCTACTCTTGTACCTCAATTTAGCTTTAGGCACA